GCAGAGAGGATCCACCAGAATGCTGCCTGGGGTGGAAAATTGAAGTTATAAGGAAAAGTTGGATAGGCTTGGGTTGTTGTCGTTGGAGCAGAGAAAACTGAGGTGTACAAAATTATGCGGGGCATGGTCAGTGTGGATAAGGAGCAGCTGTTCCTCGTAATTGAAGGGTCAGTCACAAGGGGACATGGGTTCAAGGTGAGGGGCAGGAGGTTTGGAAGGATATGAAGAAAAACCTTTTCACCCAGAGGGTAATGACTGCCTGGGATGTGTTGTTCAGGATGGCGGTAGAGGTGAGTTGCCCCACATCCTTTATAAAGTATCTGGATGAGCATTTGGCATGTCATAACATTCAAGGCTATAGGCCAAGTACTGGTAAATGGTATTAGGTGGAAGGTCAGGTGTTTCTCATTTGTCAGTGCAGACTCGATGGGTTGAAGAGCCTCTTCTGCATTGTCTGATCCTTTGATTCTATGAAAGCAATAAGGAGGGAGAAGATAAAATATGAGAGTAAGCTAGCTAGGAGCATAAAAGAAAATTGCAATGGATCTTTCAGATACATAAAAGCTAAGAGAGAGGCAAGAGTGGACATTGCACCAACTGAAAGTGAAGTTGGAGAAGTAGTAACGAGAAACAGAGGAGGGGGAACCAAACAGGTACTTTGCATCAGTCTTCAAGATGGAAGACACCAGCAGCACACCAAAACTTCAAGAGAGTCAACAGGCAGAGGTGATTGTAGTGGCCCTCAATAAGGAGAAGGTGGATAAAAATCACCTGGACCAGATGGACTCAACCCAAGAGTTCTGAAGGAGATTGTAGAGACATTGGTGGTGATTTTTTCAGGTTGTTGGTAAAATTTTAGAGTTCATTATTCAGGATGAGGTTATAGAGTGCTTAGAAGTGCACGGTAAAATAGGGCTGGGTCAGCATGGCTTCGTCAATGGCAGGTCATGCCTTACAAGTCTGTTAGAATTCTTTGAGGAGGTAACGAACAGGTTAGACAAAGGACAGACAGTGGATGTGATCTATTTGGATTTCCAGAAGGCCTTTGACAAGGTGCCACTCTGGAAGCTGCAAAATAAGATCAGAGCCCATAGTGTTAGGGGCAAGGTACTGGCATGGGTAGGATTGGCTGACTGGTAGAAGGCAGAGAGTAAGGAAAAAGGGTTGGGATGGCAGCCAGTAACTAGTGGAGTTGTGCGGGGATCAGTCTTGGTACCACAAGTATTCACTTGTTAATGTTAATGATCTGGAGGTACTGAGGGCATTGTTGCTAAACTTGCAGCTGACACAAAGGAAGAATAGAGATGTAGAGTATTTTCTAAATAGGGAAAGGCTTCAGAAATCTGAAACACAAATAGTCTTGCGAGTCGTAATTCAGGATTCTCTTAAAGTTAACATGCAGGTTCAATTGATAGTCAGAAAGGCAAATGCAATAGTAGCATTCATTTCAGGAGGGCTAGGATGCAAGAGCAGAAATGTATTGCCGAAGCTGTATAAAGCTCTGGTCAGACTGCATTTGGAACACTGTGAGCCTTTTTGGGTCCTGTATGAAAGGAGGGATATGCTGGTATTGGAGGGGTTCCAGTGGAGGTGCACAAGAGTGATCCTGGAGATGAAGGATTTGTCATATGAGGACAGTTGAGAACTCTGGGTCTGTACTCGATGAAGTTTAGAAGGGTGAGGGGGGATCTTATTGAAACTTACAAATACTGAGAGACCTGGACAGAGTAGACATGGGGAAAATGTTTCCAATAGTAGGAGAAACTAGGATCTGAGGGCACAGCCTCAGCGTGAAGGAATGACCCTTTAGACCTGAGATGATGAGGAATTTCTTCAGCCACAGGATGGTGAATCTGTGGAACTCATTGCCACAGACGGCTGTGGAGGCCAAATCATTGAGTGTATATAAGATAGAGATAGATAGGTTCTTAATTGGTAAGGCGATCAAGGGTTATGGGAAGAAGGCAGGAGCAGACTCAATGGGCTGAATAGCCTAATTCTGCTCCTATATCTTATGGTCTTATAGTTCATTAACCATCACTCTTTCTTTCCTGTTACTCAGCCAATTTTGTGTCCATGTTACCATTGTGCATTATATTTCCATGATCTATAACTTTTCTCCCAATCTGCTGTATGGCACTGTATCAAATACCATTTGGAAGTCCAAATACATGACATTACCAGTATTACCCTGGCTAACCCTCTCTGGAAATTCTTCAAAAGACTCCAGCCAGTTAGCTGGACGTGATTTTCCTTTATGAATTCCATACTGGTTCTCTTTAATAAAGCTGCAGCTGTCCATGTAACTCTAAATTTTGTCCAAAATTATTGTTTCTAGTAATTTCCCCACCTCTGAAGTTAAACTTACTGGCCTCTAGTTTCTAGGCTTATCCTTATAATTGTTTTGAACAAAGTGTCATTTGCAATTCTCGAATCCTCTGGCACCACCCTGAGTCTAATGAAGGATAAAGAATTAGGTCACAACCTGCACAATTTCAATTCGCACTTCCCTCAGTTTACTTGGATGCATCTTATTTGGTCCCAGTGCCTTACTGACAGCCTAATCAATACAGATCTGTATCAATTTTAAATATCTTGAGTGTTTGAATGTCCTCCTGTTTCACCATGGTCTGTGTAGTACCTTCTTATTTAGTAAAACAAATTTAAAACATTCATTTAACACTTCAGCCATGCCCCTTGCCTCCTCGTGTAAATCCTTTTTTTGGTCCCAAATAGGCTTTACTCTGCCTTTCACCATTTTTGAACTCTTTATATGCCCACAGATAACTTTGGGATTTTCTTTTATGTTAGCTGCCAATCTCTTTTTATAATCCCTCTTTCCTTCTCTTATGTGCTTTTTCACTCCTCTGTAATTGCTAGATTCTTCATGGAAATGGGAAACTCTTGTGTTTATTAGAGTCCGCCTGCCCTTATACCTAAAGAGCAGGAAATTGAAGGAAGAGATAGTAAGAACTGCCGCTGCTGGAGTCTGAGATAACAGTGTGGAGCTGGAGGAACACAGCAGGCCAGGCTGCCTGTGTTAACTTGAAGGAAGAGTTACACTACCATACAAGTCTAATTGGAAGGAACCCTTATGGTGCAGTGGTCGGGTGTTTTTTTTTTTAACCATCCAGAGATGCTCTTACAGACCACTAAATGTTTCTAATTAAATAGATTCATAGTCATAGAGTCATACAGCATGTAAACAAACCCTTCAGTCCAACTCATCTACGCCAACCAGGCATCTCAATCTGACCTCGTGCCATTTGCCAGCATTTGGCCCATATCCCTCTAAACCCTTCCTATTCATAAACCCATTGAGATGCCTTTTAAATGTTGTAAATGTACTCGCCTCCAGCACTTCCTCTGGCAGCTTGTTCCCAGCCACGCACCACCTCTGTGTAAAAAGTTACCCCCCAAGTCCAATTTAAATGTTTCCTCTCTCACCTTAAACCTATGTCCCATAGTTTTGGGCATCCCCATCCTCAGAAAAAGACCTTGGCTTTTCACCCTATCGTGCCTCTCATGATTTTATAAACCTTCTTAGGTCACCTTTAAGCCTCCAACACTCCAGGGGAAAAAAATCCCCAGTTTGTTCAACCTCTCCCTATTGCTCAAATCCTCCAGTCCCAGCAATATCCTTGTCAATTTTTTCTGCACCCTCTCAAGGATAACAACATCCATCCTATAGAAGGGTAACCAGAGTTGTATGCAGTATTCCAAAAATGGCCTCACCAATGTCCTGTATTACTGTAACATGACATCCCAACTTCTATACTCAATGTTATGACCAATAAAGGCAAGCATGCCAAATCCTTTCTTCAACACCTTGCCTACCTGTGACTCTATTTTCAAGGAACTATGCACCTGCACCCCTAGGTCTCTTTCTTTAGCAACACTGCCTAGGGCCCTACAATTAAGTGTATAAGCCCTGCTCTGGTTTGCCTTAGCAAAATGCAATACCTCACATTTATCTAAATTGCACTGCCCAAAAGGCAACAAAAAAATTGAGGAAAGGTAAGGTGAGAGATTAGGAGAGGGGACTAAATTAAAATAGTGTTGCATTTGGCATAGTTGTAGAGTGTTTTTAAAGAATTTAAAGTGTAATGAGCCCCACACATTTCTATTATTTTGCTTTGATAGCTGTTTCTCTGAAATACAGTATTTGTTGACAGGGAATTTTTCTTGTTATTTATTGAAGGACTTTCTCTGTGGGAGTATGAAGCAGAATGAATTACCAAGAAAGGCTGGTGTGTGTTTGTTATAACGGCCAAGGAGCAATGAGGTGAGTTCACAGAAAACACTTCTTTTCTGGAGTAGGTGAGCACCACTTTAATTGTGTCAACACACAATGAGAAAGTTGCACTATGGCTTTTAGCAATATAGTCACAATAACAGTGGTGATATCCATTGATGATAACAAGTAAAACTCAAGTTAATCTAACCACAGAACTGCAAAACTGTTTTAATGAAGTGCTGGCATTTGCCTCAATATTCAGTTAGAGTTCTTCAGTGCTTTTCTGGTTTATTGTGGATTTGGCACAGAGCATGAGACAATTTATAAACTGGATTGGATTTACAGCGGCTGAGGCTCTGGGCTCACCAGTAATTTGGGGGCTCCTTTAAGAGATAATGCTTTTCATGGGCGTCCAGCTGCAGCTTATGTTCTACATGTTTGAACTGTGTACTAGTCTTGGCAACTGGCAGCTGATTCCTTCTGTTTCTTCTGGTCCCAGCTGTACAGAGATGCAGAGATAGTAGGAACTGCCGATGCTGGAGAATCTGAGATAACACGGTGTAGAGCTGTGCCATGCCACCAACTCCTCTCCAAGCCACTTGTAAACTCTGGCATGAGGAGCCAAAATGAAGCATGCTGCAGAACGATTTAAAGAAACAGGCCACTGAAATACTTTGCATGCTCCAGTGTTTTGTCTTTGCACCTTCAGCTGGTTTGTACCAGAACTAGTAGAAACTACACCATGTTTTAACTGAATTAAACACAGGACGCTGTGCACTTTGGTCGGGAGAATCCAAAGGCAGACTATTATCTGAAAGAAAAAGACTACAAAAAGGTGCAGATCATAGGGCTCTGGGTATAAAAGTGTATGAAACACAAATCATTAGCAATCAGGTACAACAAGTAATTAAGAAGGCAAATGGAATTTACTCTGATCTGTACACACTGTTGATCCTTAAGGCCACAATATTTAACCCTTTAGGTTTTTGATGCCGTTTTAGTACAAAACATGCCTGTCTTGTAAGTTTACATACTCTGTCCTATTTCATGTAATTTGACTGAAGGCTACTACTTACTCCTACATGCCTCCTGAAACACTCAGCAGCCAGCATTTGGACTTGAAAGGTTTCGAAAAGATTTACAAGGATGTTGCCAGGGTTGGAGGGTTTGAGCTGTAGGGTGAGGCTGATAGGCAGGGGCAATTTTCCCTGGAGCATCAGAGGCTGAGGGGTGACCTTACAGAGGTTTATAAAATCATGAAGAGCATGGATAGGGGAGCCCAATACTAGAGGGGATAGGTTTAAAGATTTAAAGAGCAGAGAGATTTAAAAGGCACCTGAGGGGCAACTTTTTCACGCAGAGGGTGGTACATGTATGGAATAAGCTGTCAGAAGAATTGGTGAAGGTGGTACAATTACAACATTTAAAAGGCTTCTGGATGGGTATATGAATATGAAGGGTTTAGACGGATATGGACCAAATGCTGGCAAATGGGACTAGATTAAGTTATGTTATCTGGTCGGCATGGACGAGTGGGACCAAAGGGTCTGTTTCTATGACTCAATGTGCAGCTGAGCACTGAATAGTAACAAGCCCTCTTTCTGACTGAAAACAAGTGTTTAGTTTCTGTTCAGCACTGCTACCTGTGAGAAATCATGGATACAAGCTTCTTCAAGAGATCTGCTTCAGTCCTTGAATAGTCAGGCAACTTCTTAGGGCCAATTTGATCAGATAAAGTGGCTGCTAGATTATAGTGATGACATTACTGAAATGCTGTGAAAATTTGTCAGTCACACTCAAATCAAGTTGTTGTGTAAGACTGAATTTAAAAGATTTTAAAACTTCAGTGACTGGAGTTGGCTACCTTTTGCAAATTCATACTTTTTTTCTGGGGTTCACTCACTGAAAATGCAAGTTCTAAATTTCAAAACGTTATTTTGAGCCATTCCTCAGTCTGTAACCTACCGAGGTGTTGCTATTGATCTGTCCTGTTTTATGTGATCTTGTGCAAACCATAAGTAAACAGTCTGATTGTGGATGGCAATAGCAGTGCAGCAGGCAGTAAGTTTAGATCTGAGTCAATCAAGGGCATCCATTTGCTGAAGTTCACCAGCACTTCAGTGTAGCTTGGTATCCAGTTATCTTGAATTCAGTCATGGCATCTGAAGCATCCCTGACTTTCATTGTCTCATCATTGGTGGCCAGGACTTCAGCTGTCAGGACTGTAAAATGTGGAATTTCTACCGTCAACATCTTTGATTCTCTATTTCTTTTCCCTCCTTTAATATTCTTTTAAACTTATCACTAAACCTATCTTGAAATCTTCCTGTGTGGCTCAGTTTCATGTTTTATTCTCTAACACTCTTGTGGAGTTCCTTGGGATTACATTATAGTTTCAATTTGCATTTATGTAGTGCCTTTGCCAAAAGCTCCCAAGATGTTAGAATGATAGTCATGGAGGTGCACTTGTGCAAGTTTTTTGATAGATCATTTCCAGTGATCTGTGGTCAGTATGATCAATGAAGTACTTGCTGAATAGATATGTATGAAACCTTAGTATTCTGAAAACTGGAAGTGATGGTTTTCCTTTCTATGTTGGAAGAGCTGAACATTCTGGAACTAACTGCAAGAGGCATATCATCCTAATTTCAATTTGGAAAGCTTGGAGAGAGTGTAATGTTGAATGATACATTTGCCTAAATGTAAGGCTTGTTTGAAAGATTGTAAGGTATGTTTGTGATCTTTCTGTCACAGGTATGGTGTATCTTTGCAGAACAAGTCTTGAGGAGGAGACTCTTTTACGGAAAAATTCATGATATACAGGGATAAAGGGTTGAAGAAACTGAGACACTTTTGTAAGTCGTCTTTGTTTTGTAGTGTAGGTGACTCTTGTAGGTCTTCTGTTTTGGTACAACCAGGTCTGATACCATGTGACAAATAAAGTGATCTGAAGATGTTGATTTGGCCAAGTTGATATTTTTTGCTGTTGAAAACAAGACTGCTGTATCATGCACTGAAGTAGTTTTGTGCCATGTGTATGTTTAATTTTTCCCCATTCATCTGATACAGAGGCAGCCGTGTAGTTTCCTTTTGATAAAATCTGTGGGATTTGGAATATGTCCTGGCTAATAGGTAATCCAAATAATAATCTGAGAGGGATTTTAAATGTTGTCATCCTGGGGAAAAATTTAAATGTTTTGCTGATGCTGTTGACAGCTGCTGTATTGCCATAAGAGTTGATCAGCCTTATAGTTGTACAGAATGCTTTTCAGAAAGATTTGAAAGGGTATAGATAATGACCAATTCCATCAGCTTTTAACTAGGTTAGCTTCAGTGAAATTACATCTCATACTTTGGTGTCAGCATCTGCCTACGTATTGGTTAATGTTTTCACTGGCTGTTGGCAACATGACATGACCTCAAGAATATATAATCTGGAATTAATTCTAACCTGAGTGTGATTTTCTAGACGCTGGAAAATCTTTGCCTGTATCTTAGTGATCATCTCCCAAAAAGCTGGAGGATTTCATTCCTCTCAACACCTAACTTTCCCAAGCAACAAATGGTATGTCTGCCCGTCCACTATTGTCTGCAATCAGTTGGTCTATAAAGAGAAGATTAATTCTTGCATTGAATGTTTGAAGTTCTGACAGATTATCACTCAAGATCCACTCCATGTTCAGATGTTTGCTTCTATTCTTGTTGTGTTTTTTGAAAATGTCAGAGTAACTATCTATATTGTGGTGTCATGCTTTTTCTGTTTGGTATTTGTTTTGGCTTCTCTTAACTTTTTTTTGTTTCTGTCCTTAATGCTGCTTTAGATGTTGCTGCTTTAAAAGCGTACAGGGCATTCATGCCCAAAAACTGTGGCAGTGATGATACATGCACTTCTTCTTTTCACATAAGAAGCATGATGTCAGAATCAATTCATGTCTGCACACAGGATTTGCCCTTTTGAGATTTAAAGTCTTTTCTCCATATTTTCTCTCTGCATTTTTCACAATGATTGCTTTAATAGTTTGGACTTGTCCATCAGTGCATTTATACTTCATGATTTTTAAATCAGATCAGGTGTGGCTTTGCGTTTTCTCTTTCACAGAAAAAGAGAGAACCTCAAACGTTTGTTGTTCCAGCACAGTGGTAGCCTTTAGTCTTGGTTGTTAAATGTGCAGTTCAGCTGTGCTCAGATGTGTGATGGGTGACTGTAGGGAAGATAACTTTTTATAACTGCAACTGCCTTTCAGCTTTCAATACCAACTTGCTGTCACCAGCTTCTAGTACTCACTTACTGTCAGGGTGTAACTGTGGTTTTCTATACATTAACTAAATGACATAAAAATAACATACTGAAGACGGTCTGGTACTTATTGAATCAGATATCTAGAAGTTTGTTAAAATGTAATGGTGTACATTAATATGACATCTCAGTCTTACATATAGAGTCTGGGTTACACACTTACTTCAATTTTTATTATATTTCATTCATAGCTGACTAGTAGATTGACTATCAGTCTGTTTGTTCTCTGAATGACTGACTGAATGGCAGACGATTCGAGCATCACATGTTTATATATTATCTCGCAGTCTTTCTGAGATAGATTCATAGAGTAACACAGCATGGCAACAGGCTCTTCAGCCCAAACTGGCACATGCTGACCAGGGTGCCCGCTCAGCCAGTTCCAATTGCCCGCATTTGGTCCATATCCCTCTAAACCCTTCCCATTCATGTATCTATCCAAAGCTTTTTAAATGTTGCTATTGTATCTGCCTCAACCACTTTCTCTGGTAGCCCACTCCATATATGCACCAATCTCTGCATGAAGAAATTGCCCCTCAAGTCGTTCTTAAATCTTTCCCCTCTCACCTTAAACCTATGCCCTCCAGTTTTCAAATCCCCAGCCCTGGGAAAAAGACTATATGCATTCATTTTATTGATGCCCCTCATGATTTTATACACCTCAGTAAGGTCACCCCTCATTCTCCTATGTTCCAAGGAATAAAGTCTTATCCTTACCAACCTCTCCCTATAACTCAGTCTTATTACACCTGTTAACACCCTCATAAATCTTCTTTGCACGCTTTCCACTTTAACTATGTCTTCCCTATAACAGGGTGACCAAAACTGTACACAATACTCCAAGTGTGGCCTCACTAATGACTTATATAATTGTAACATAATGTCCCAATTCCTATACTCAATGCCTTGACCGATAAAGGCCAGCATGCTAAATGCCTTCTTTACTATCCTATCCACCTGTGATGCCACTTTCAACGAACTATGTACTTGTACTCCCAGGTCCCTCTGTCCCACAACACTCCTCACGACCTTACCATTTACTCAATAAGTCCTACTTTGGTTCGACTTTCCAAAGTGCAACAACTCATACTTATCTGTATTGAATTGCATTTGCCAATCCTCAGCCCACTTCCCATTCTTATCAAGATCCCTCTGTAATTTTTGATAATCTTCCTCACTATCAACGATACCTCCTAATTTTCTATCATCCGCAAACTTACTAATCATGCCTTGTACATTCATATCTAAATGATTTATGTAAATAACAAATAACAAACGTCCTAGTATGACCCCTGTGGCACACCACCAGTCACAGGCTTCCAGTCTAAGAAACAACCTGCAACCATCACCCTCTGATTCCTACCATCGAGCCAATTTTGAATCCAATTACCTAGCTCTCCCTGGGTCACATGCTGCCTAACCTTCATGATTAGCCTGCCATATGGGACCTTGTCAAAGGATTTATTAAAGTCCATATAGACAACATCCATTGCCCTACCCTCATCTATCCTCTTGGTTACCTCTTTGAAAATCTCTAA